AGGAGGGGAAGACCCTCTATGAGATGGATTGATTCGGTGACTGGGGTAATCGGGATGGGTGTGTCAGAGGCTGTGCGTTTGGCAAAGGACAGAGCAGGGTTTAGGGCTGTTGTGCATAGGGTCGCTATGAGTCGGAAACGACTCGACGGCACATAACAACAACAACAACCAAAAGGAATATAGCATATTCAGTGAAATTCCAATCCAGATATCAAATTCTTTTTTCAAGGGAGTCAAAAGGGAAATTGTTACATTTATTTGAAGAGGAAAGCGACCGTGAATAAGCAAAGCATTTTTGAAAAACATTATTGAAGTGGGAGGCACAGCAGTCCTTGACCTCAAAATCTACTACACAATGGTAATAACCAAGATTACATGGTGCTGGTACAAAGGCAGGCACATAGATCAATGGAACAGAATTGAGAACTGAGAAATGGACCCAGCTTTCTATGGTCAAACTGATATTCAACGGAAGTAAAACCTATCAAATGGGGAAATGACAACCTCTTCAACAAATGGTGTTGGCAAAACTGGATTGGTACCTGAAGAAAGCTGAAACAGGATCTACACCTCACAGCATACACAAAAATCAACTCAAGGTGGATCAAAGATTTGGAAGTAAAGCCTAAAACCGTAAAGTTCATCAGAGACAATCAGGGGTCAACTTAGACAGCCTAGTTTATGGTATAAAGGGACTGCTAAATACAGCCAGAATTGTACAATCTGAAGAAGATAAAATTGATGAATAATACGTTTTAAAGATTAAATCTGTGTGCATCAAAAGCTTTTTTCCCAACAGAGTGAAAGGTAAACCTACTGACTGGGGGAAAATAAACAAACAAACAAAAAAACACATTTGGCAATAACATGTCAGACAAGGGACTCATATTAAAAGTTTCCAGAAGTCTACAGGGCTTATACAAGAAGAAGACTGATAACACAATTATCAAATGAGGAAAAGACATGAAAATAATTTCCATGGTGGAAGGTATTTGGATGGACAATAGACACATGAAGAAATAAATGCTAAAAATCATTGGCAATAAGAGAGATTAAAATTAAAACCACGATGAGATATCATCTTACTCCAGGAGCATTGGCAAATTTTAACAGGGCAGCAAGTAATAAATGTTGGAGAAAATTTTTATACATTGTTGGTGGGATTGTAAAATGATACAGCCACTCTGGAAGGCAGTTTGGCATTTCCTCAGAAAGCTGAACATAGACATTCCCAGATATTATATGATCCAGCTATTCCACTGCTTGGAATATACCCTGAGAGAATGAGAACTGAGGCACAGAGAATTGTACACCAATGTTCATAGCAGCGTTATTCACCATTGCAAGAACATGAAAATAGCCCAAATGTACAACCACAATCAAATGGATTGAGAAATTATGGTATCACAGGATGGATTACTACATAGCACTCAGGTGCAATGATGTTTTAAATCACTATCTAACTTAGGAGGGACTGAAGTACATTATGCTAATGAAACTAACTTAGTCCCATAAGGACAAATACTGTATAAGACCGTTATTATAGAACATGTATGAGGATCCAAGAGGGGAAGGTGGGAGCAGAAGGCTTATGATGGGTGGTTGTGGGTGGTGGTTGTGGTGGTGATGGCAGTAAACCATAGGGTCACACAATTTGATAGGTAGATGTAGAGGTGGGTAAAGGAAATGGGAAAGATCATGTGTTAAAAACTATACAAACTTTGTAAGTAAACAAGTATAAAATAAAAATTTAAAAAATGAAAATACCTATGATTGACTTTAAAGACTATGAACAGAGGAAAAGAAATAACAGATAAACCATTCTCTCTTAGAATTAACTGAGTTATCTGACATTAAGACTGATTTTTTTTTAATGTTAAAAGACTTCTTTTTCCATTTGTATTATCCTAATTA